GGAGGAGGAGGAGGAGGAAGAGGAAAGGAAAAGGAGGAGGAGGATGGAGGGAAGAGGACGAGGAGGAGGAGGAAGGAGAGGGAAGGAGTGAGGAGGAGGGAGGACGAACGACTAGGAGGACGAGGAGGAGGAGGAGGAGGAGGAGGAGGAGAAGGAGGAGGCGGACGAGGAGGAGAAGGAGGAGGAGGATGAGGAGGGGAGAAGGAGGAGGAGGATTAACATATTGGAAAAGGAAAAAGGAGGATGAGGATTAAGATAAGGAGGAGGAGCAGGAGGAGGAGGAGGTGGAGGAGGAGGTGGAGGAGGACGAGGACGGGGGGATGAGGACGAGGAGGAGGAGGAGGCGAGAAGGCAAAACTCATTGAACAACCATGGAAACATGAAGGATTTGGGCCTCTGGGGGCATGCTCTGGAGTACTGTTGGAGGCTCTTGGCGGCCTCTTGGGGGCCTTGGGGGCTTGTGTGGGCGTATGGGGGCCCAGGATTCGGAGTGTCAGGGTTTTTCCCCGTGCTTTGGCCCCCCCTTGGGCCTGGCTTGGGGTCCTCTGGGGCCGTCTTGGGCGCCTCTTGGGCCATCTTGGGGCTCCCTGGGCCGTCTGGGGACGCGCTTGGAGGCCTCTTGGGCCGTCCTGGGGCGGTCTTGTGGTTCTCTCCGGCCGTCGTGGAGCGTCGGCTAGCCGAGAAGACGAGAATTCAAAATTCCTTCCAAAACCATGAGAAAGGAAGGATTTGGGCCTCTGGGGGCATGCGTCGGGGTACTGTTGGAGGCTCTTGGCGGCCTCTTGGGGGGCCTTGGGGCCTTGTGTGGGCGTATGGGGGCCCAGGACTCGGAGGGTCAGGGTATTTCCCCGTGCTTTGGCCCCCTCTTGGGCCTGGCTTGGGGTCCTCTGGGGCCGTCTTGGGCGCCTCTTGGGCCATCTTGGGGCTCCCTGGGCCGTCTGGGGCCGCGCTTGGACAACTTGGAGGCCTGTTGGGCCGTCCTGGGGCGGTCTGGTGGGTCTCTTCGGCCGGCTTGGAGCGTCGGCTAGCCGAAGAGGTGAGCAGGCAAAACTCCTTCAAAAACCAGGGAAACATTCAGGATTTTGGCCTCTGGGGGCATGCTTCTGAGGACTGTTGGAGGCTCTTGGAGGCCTCTAGAGCCTTGGTGGGGTCCTCTAGGGGGTCTATTTGCCCTTGTTGGGGGCCTCTAGGGGGCCTCTTGGACGCTCCTTGGAGCCTCTTATGGCCAGTTCGGCGCGTCTGCGGGGGGAGGGCTCGATTTGTGACGCTCGGGGGCCAGGATCTGCGTGAGGGGTGTCGAAAAATGGCCCTCCAGGGAGCGCATCGGTGCACGACCTTCTGGCACGCGCTGATGTCCGCCATAGAGAAGAGACTAGTGTGTACCTGTGGTGTGATCACCGCTATCGACGTTGAGGGGGGCAGTGCTTGTAGGGCGTGCCTCCACACGCAAGGGGTGTCACTCCACTTGCTTGTGGGCTCTCTTGGAATCCACTTGACGTCGATCTGAAAGCTCTTCTGGGCCCTCTTGGGGCCTGCTTGGGCCTACCCTGGGGCTTCAAGCGGGTCTTGGGCGGCGCCTGGGAGCACTCCGAGAGGGCCCCAAGTGGGCCCGGAGAGAATCCAACAGCTAGTGGAGTGACGCCACGTTCTTGTGGGCCATCTTGGAGGGCCCTGGTGGAGCTCTCTGGGGGTCTCCCCTTGAAGCCTCTCGGGACCCTCTCGGAGCTACCCTGGGGCCCCAGGCAAAAGTCAGGCGAGCTCCTGTGAGGCTCCAACAGGGCCCTAAGTGCACCCCAAGAGGGCCCAAAAGGAAGTGGCGCCACCCTACTTTCCTTTAGGCTCTCTCGGAGTGCACTTCAAGCGTCTTCGAAGCCTCCTTGTGGTCTCGTGGGGCCCGCTCCTGCCTACCCTGCGGCTTCAGCCGGGACTGAGGCGGCCTCTGGGAGCGCTCGGAGAGCGCCCCAAGTGGGCCCGAATAGAATCCACAAGCGAGGGGTGTCACTCCACTTGCTTGTGGGCTCTCTTGGAATCCACTTGAAGCCGCTCTGAAAGCTCTTCTGGGCCCTCTTGGGGCCTGCTTGGGCCTACCCTGGGGCTTCAAGCGGGTCTTGGGCGGCGCCGAGGAGCACCCAGAGAGGGCCCCAAGTGGGCCCGGAGAGAATCCAACAGCCAGTGGAGTGACGCCACGTTCTTGTGGGCCATCTTGGAGGCCCCTTGAAGCCTCTCGGGGTCGGAACTACTCTGGGACTCCAGGCAAAAGTCAGGCGAGCGGCGAGCTCCTGGGAGGCCCCGACAGGGCCCCAAGTGCTCCCCAAGACTCCAAGAGGGCCCAAGAAGGAAGTGGCGTCGCTCACCTTGCTGTTGGGCTCTCTCGGAATGCACTTCAAGCCGTCTTCGAAGCCTCCTTCTGGTCTCGTCGAGCCCGCTCCTGCCTGCCCTGCAGCTTCGGCCAGGACTGCGACGACGGCGACGGCGGCGACGGCGGCGACGCCCAACGACGACGACGACGACCACCACCACCACCACCACCACCACCACCACCACCACCACGACGACCACCACGACACCGAAAACGGCGACGGCGACGGCGACGGCGACGGCGACGACGACGGCGACGACGACGACGACGACGGCGACGACGACGACGACGACGGCGACGACGACGACGACGACGGCGACGATGACGACGACGATGGCGACGACGACGACGATGACCTCGGCTTAAGACCCTTCAGCGGTTGTCGTGACCTCTTCGAATTCCCTTCCGGCCGGACGTCTGGCCTTCAAACGCTTGTTACAATTCTGATTGTGTGCGGGTCCCTAGGAAAGTTTTTGGGGTCCTCTTGGACGGTTCCCGGGCGACGACGACAACGACGACGACGACCTCGGATGAAGAAACTTCAGCGGTTGTCGTGGCCTCTTCGAATTTCCTTCCGGCCAGACGTCTGGCTTTCAAACGCCCGTTGCGATTCTGATTGCGCGAGGGGCCCCTTGGGAAACTTGTGGTGACTTCTTGGGTGGTTGGTTCTCGGACGACGACGACGACGACGACGACGACGACGACGACGACGACCTCGGATTTAGACCCTTCAGCGGTTTTCGCGGCGTCTTCGAATTTCCTTGCGGCCAGACGTCTGGCCGTCAAGCGCCTGTTGCGATTCTCATTGAGTGCGGGCCCCTAGGAAAGCTTGTGGGGACCTCTCGGGTGGTTCTCGGGGCTCGTGTCGGTTCTCGTGGAAGCTTGCTGGAGGTCTCGGGAGACGTCGGGGGACACCCCAAGGGCTACCGGGGCCTCTCGGGTGGTTCTCGGGCGACGACGACGACGACGACGACCTTGGATGAAGACCCTTCAGCGGTTGTCGTGGCCTCTTCGAATTTCCTTCCGGTCGGACGACCTTCAAACGACTGTCACGGTTCTCATTGTGCGCGGGCCTCTTGGGATGCTTGTGGTGACCTCTTGGGTGGTTCTCGGGGCTTGCGTCGATTCTCAGGGGAGCTTGCTGGAGGCCTCGGGAAACTCTGGGGGGCACTCTAGGGGCCGTCGGGGCTCTCGACGGGTTTTCAAGCGACGCTCGACGACGACGACGACGACGACGACGACGACGACGACGACGACGACGACGACGACGACGACGACGACGACGGTGACGACGGCGACGACGGCGACGACAACGACCGCGACGACGACCTCGGATTTAGACCCTTCAGCGGTTTTCGCGGCCTCTTCGAATTTCTTTGCAGCCGGGCGTCTGGCCTTCAATCGCCTGTTTCAATTCTCATCGCGCGCGGGCCCCTGGGAAAGCTTGCGGGGGCCTCCCGGGTGGTCCTCGGGGCTCGCGTCGGTTCTCGCGGGAGCTTGGTGGAGGCCTCGGGAGACTCTGGGGGACGCTCTAGGGTCCATCGGGGAAGCCGCGTGACCTCGAGGGGGACCCCTCGGCGACGGCGGCGGCAGGCGGCGGAGGGCGACGGCGCTGCGGGCCCCTGGGGAAGCTTTTGGGGACCTGTTGGGTGGTTCTCGGGGCTCGTGTCGGTTCTCGTGGGAGCTTGCTGGAGGCCTCGGGAGACTCTGGGGGGCACTCTAGGGGCTATCGGGAAAGCCGCGTGACCTCGAGGGGAACCCCTCGGCGACGGCGGCGGCGGGCGGCGAAGGCGACGGCGCGGGAATGTGTCTGCGTCTGCTGCCAGCAGCATGTCCCGCTGCTCCACCGTCAAGAGCTTTTGGAACGGGGCGCGCGTGAGGTCAGGCGTGGAGGTGACACATAAGTATGTCTCGAGCGTCGAACTCTCCGTAATCGGCAGGGTGGCTCGGCCGTCTTGGCGGCGCCTCCCGTGGCCCACTTGGGGCTCTCTGGGCAATCTCTTGAGGGGTCCGTTTGGGGCTCTTTTGGGCCGTGTCAGTCTGGAGCCGTCCTGGGGACGTCTTGGACCGGTTTGGAAGGCTCGGGCTGTCTTGGGCTCTCTTGGGCCCTTTGGGGGGCCTCAGGGGGCGGCTTGGGAGCGTCTGGCGCCGTCCTGGAGCCGTCCGCGGGGCGTGCCGCGTCGATCTGGGGCACTCTTGGACCGTCCGCTGCGCGCTCGGGGCCGCTCGGAAGGCTCGGCGGCGGCCCCAGAGGCCGCCCTGGGCGGCCCGAAGCGCCCGAGGGCCCGCTGGGAGCGGCCCGGAGGGGGCCGGTTCGCTGCCACTGCTCGCCGATCTGGGGAGCGGTGAACGCTGCAGTGCAGGATAGATGAAGTTGATGACAGTGGGCTCCAACTTCGCCTCGCGCATCTCGCTCAGCAGCGCCAGCTCCCGCTGCCACTGCCCGCCCTTCTCACACGCGCTGACCTCAGCGCTGTTGCTGACCAGGGCTGACCAAGATCGAACTCGTTGAACGGTATCCAAAACTGCTTCCTGTGCGATGGCCACTGGCTACTTCTAGATCAGATGATGTCTGTTCAAACTATCCTGTGGTTGCCTAGCGTGATCACACGCAAATTGCATCGCAAGAGACTCGAAAGCGTCAAAGGCCGACCCGAAGGGAGACCGGGAATCCTGCCAAGTCGCCAGATGACTGCTCACACGCTGTGATGACCAAGTTGTGCACGCTCTTGTCTGACTCCAAAATGATTTCTTCCATCTCGCCGAGCAGTGATAATGCCTGCCGCCACTGGCAACATCTCTCACACGCGCAGATCCCAGCGGTGTAGCTGATGGCGTTCGCCTCCAGCTTTGCCTCCCGAATCTCGCCCAGAAGCGCCAAAGCCCGTTGCCATTGCTGACCCTTCTCGCACGCGCTGATCCCTGCGTTGAAGCTGACAACGTTTGGGTCCAGCTTCGTTTCCCACATCTCGCTCAACAGCGACAAAGCCTGTTGCCACTGCCCGCCCTTTTCGCACGCGCTCATCCCAGCGCTGTAGCTGACCAGGGCTGACCCGTGGACTACGTCCACGAAATCTCCACGAATCAGCATGTGGCGGTGGACACGCTTCCGAAAGACTAACATGATGACGTGGGGCTCGAACTTCGCATTCCACGCATGCTGTTGCGTGATGCTGCTTGCCGCCGCTGCTGCGAACTGCTGGTAATGCTTACCGCTGCTGTGTGCTGCTGCTGCTTGTAGCTGCAGGGCGCTGTTGATGGCCAGCTCTGCTTTTGTGCGTATGGTCGGACCTAGGCCAGAAGAGCACCCTGCAGAAACGTGAGACCCTCCGTCGGCCAAGACAAACAGAACATCCAGGGGTACCTTCCGCAGGATGCACAAGAACATCCAACAAGCACGAAGAACACGAGGGTACCCTCCCCGAACCGACCTCGATCTTATACCTCGGTCCGACCGTATTGCTGCCCGATGCCTGCTGCTGCTGCTGCTGCTGCTGCTGCTGCAGTTTCGCTGCTCGCAGTTGCTGCGCGTTCCCGCTGCCTGCTGCCCGCCTCGCGCTGCTGCCGCTCGCGGCTGCTGCTCCCTGATGCTGCAGGGTAATGGGTGATGTTTCTCCCTCCTTGAAGGGGCCCAGGGGCACACAAATAAATACACACTCATCCCCGGATTCCCCATATGTTATCATACTTTCTTGATTTTCGTCTTTCCTCCCACGTCCCATATTCTCACACATGTGCCAGGCAATCGACGAACATTTGTGTCTGTGTGTGTGTTCCTTCCTTCAGGGTCCTCAGGCAACTTGCTGCTGGGAGTAGATCGAGCAGCGAGAGGCCAGGACGGAGAACATTGAGGAAATGTGTGGGGGCGATCGGCGATCAGCGAAGAGCGAGGAGCAGGGAAGAACGGAGCGACGGCCGGGGCGAGATGGACGAGGAACGTCGAGGTTTGAGGAGGCTTGTCGTCCTTGTAAACCTCTGAGGGCTGTTTTCGGGCTCAGGGTTCGGGGGCCGATTCCTCAGGGATTTTGTCGACTTTGAAGGGGCGTTTGGGTTGGAGGCTCGAGAAGTTGGTGTCTGGCCGCTTGTCAATTTAGACTGCTTGCTGCTAGTGTTGCTTGCATTGGCTTGCTGCTCGCGTTCTGCTAGCTTACCGCTTGGGCCTTCTTGGGGCAGTGTCAGGGCCCAGGCTGGACATTCAGAAGCGCACGCGCGCCTTATCGTGAACGTTTTCGTACTCGGCGTTTCGACATTGGGCGAAAGGGGGGGGAGCGGGGGCTTTCTGGCTCTGGACCTGTGCTTGGTGCGGCTGCTTGGAGCCGTGCGTGATCTGGGGGAGGCCCCACCTGCTCGAAACAGGCGCCCCAAAAAACAGCCAAGACCTGCTCCAGGGGGAGGGGGGGTGCGAGCCCGCGCCGATCGGCAAAACAAGGGATACAAAACGATCACCTCTTCAACGATGTTCCAGGAGGAGGAGGAGGAGGAGGGAGGGAGGAGGAGGAGGAGGAGGGAGGGGAGGAGGGAGGAGGGGGAGGGAGGAAGAGGAGGAGGAGGAGAGGAGGAGGAGGAGGAGGAGGAGGAGGAGGAGGATGTTCCATCGTGGGCGCGGCCCAGGGACGAGCTTGAGCCGCCTTCCGGGCAGCTTTCGGGGCCGCCCTCGCCTCGGGCCGCCCCGGGGCGATCCTGAGCCGCCTTCGGGCGGACTCTAGGGCCACGACTGGACAGCCTCCTCCTCCTCCTCCTCCTCCTCCTCCTCCTCCTCCTCCTCCTCCTCCTTCCTCCTCCTCCCCCTCCTCCTCCTCCCCTTCCTCCTCCTCCTCCTCTCTCCTCCTCCTCCTCCTCCTCCTCTTCTCCTCCTCCTCCTCCTCCTCCTCCTCCTCCGGTCATATCCCTCCTCCTCCTCCTCCTCTCCTCCTCCTCCTCGGTCCTCCTCCTCCTCCTCCTCCTCCTCCCTCCTCCTCCTCCTCCTCCTCCTCCTACCCTCCTATCTCCTCCTCCTCCTATTCCTATTCCTATTCCTATTCCTATTCCTATTCCTATTCCTATTCCTACTCCTATTCCTCCTCCTCCTCCTCCTCCTCCTCCTCCTCCTCCTCCTCCTCCTCCGCGCACGCGAGCCTCCTCTTCAGCGATGCTCCTCTTCGTGGCCGCGGCCGCCCGAGGAGGCGAGGAGGACGCGCGCGGGCGGCGACGGGCTCGGCAGCAGGCGGGAGGCTCTGCGGAGCAAGCCTCCGGTGGCCGGCTCTCCGTCTCAGGGAGAGACCCCTCCCCGACGGGTCGCCAAGTAGGTGTTGAAGGCGAGCAGGCTGCACGACGCCTCGCCGCCCTCGCGCGAAGCGCGAGGAAGCAGTTAAAGGTGTTGAAGAATCAGGCCCCGACGGGTCGCCCGGTGAGACGGGCGCCGCTCTCACGCAGGGGGCCACAAGGAAAGGCCGAGGACTTCCTGGTTCTGCGCTGGGCCCCCCTGCTTTCCCTCCGACCCTTCCGGGGAGCTCACGCCGCGCCGTGGCTCCGCCGCCTCCTCGGCGCCGCAGTCGCTGCTGCAGGCCGCCCTGCCTGGGAGCCCCAGGCCTTCGTGCCCGTCGTGGCGCCGCGATGTGTTGGCCGGCTCTGCCAGCAGAGGCCGCGGTGCCGGCGCCGCCCCAGCCACACGCCGAGTGCTGAATCCTCCTCCTCCTCCTCCTCCTCCTCCTCCTCCTCCTCCTCCTCCTCCTCCTCCTCCTGCTCCTCCTCCGCCTCCTCCTCCTCCTCCTCCTCCTCTTCCTCCTCCTCCTCCTCCTCCTCCTCCTCCTCCTCCTCCTCCTCCCAGAGCTCCCTAAGGGATCTTCCCTCGGAAGCCTCCGGGAGGCGGTCTTAGGAGATCCTCCCGGGACTTCTCGGGGGCCTCGTGGGGCCCGAGTTGGGCCTCTCGGGGGCCTCCTGGGGCTTCTGGGAGACCTCTTGGGGGCCTGCTGGCGATCTCGGGGGTTATCTTAGGGAATGCCAGGTCGAGTTTCCTTTTTGGGAGCCATCTTGGGCCCTCTTGGACAGGCTTGGGAGCCGCTTGGGCGGTCTTAGGGCCCTCTCGGGCTGTCTGGGGTCTTTCTTGGGGCCTGTTGGGCCGTGTTGGGGTGATCTGGAGAGTCGGAAGCGTAAAAAAGCGAGAACGTCCAAATTAGCAAAAATCTTTAAGGAAATCAATGAGTTTGGCCTCTCGGAGCCCTCTTGGGAGGCTTCTGGGAGCCCTCGTGGGCCGTCTTGGAGCCCTGGTTGGCCGTCCGAAAGCCACGTTGGGCCCTCTTGGGCCGTCTGGGCGCGTCTCGTGCCATCTGGGACCGTCTCGGAGCTCGCAACGGGCCGCCAGGGCTGATTTGTGCCACCTGAGCCCCCACCCCTCTGGCACGCGCCGCTCCCGACCATGTAGTACAGACGATTGCTGACGCGTGAGCTCACATCCGCGGAAACTTGAGCATTTGCATGCGAGGTCTCCTTGTGGTCACCCGCTCCTGCCTACCCTGCGGCTTCAGGCGCCTCCCGGGGCGCTCGGGGAGCGCCCCAAGTGGGCCCAGAGAGAATCCACAGGCAAGTGGCGTCACTCCACTTGCTTTTGGGCTCTCTGGGAGTCCACTTGAAGCCGGCCCTCTTGGGGCCTGCCTGGGCCTACCCTGGGGCTTCAGGCGGGTCTTAGGCGGCGCCTGGGAGCGCTCCGAGAGGGCCCCAAGCGGGCCAGGAGAGAATCCACAAGCGCGTGGAGTGACGCCACTTGCTTCTGGGCTATCTTGGAATCCTTTTGGAGCTCTCTGGGGGTCTCCCTTTGTGGGCCATCTTGGAGGGCTCTTGGAGCTCTCTGGGGCTCTCCCCTCGAGGGCCTCTGGCTCTGGGCAGGAGTCGGGCGAGCTCCCGGGAGGCGCCGACGGGGCCCCAAACTTCCACCCCCGAGAGGGCCCAAGAGGAAAAGGCGTCACTCCGCTGGCTTTGGGGCGCTCTCGGAAATGCACGTCGAGCCGTCTCTGAAGCCGCCCTGTGGTCTCATAGGGGGGCCCGCTCCTGCCTGCCCCTGCGGCGTCAGCCGGGGCCGAGGCGGCCTGCGGGAGCGCTCGGAGAGCGCCCCGAGTGCCCTTCAAGTGGGCCTGGAGAGAACCCACAAGCAAGGGGCGTCACTCCACGTGCTTGTGGGCTCTCCTGGAATCCCCCCGAAGGACCTGAATCTCTTGGATCTCTTGGGATCTCTTGGGCTTTTTGGGCTCTCTGGACTTCTGCGTGTGAGCAGGCTCTGTGCTTCCCGTGCGCGCCCGCCCGCACAGCGGCTGGCATGCCCTGACTTCGGATCCGCCGCACTTTGGTTGACTTTCCGACTCGGACTTGTGCCACACATGCGCCCCAAACGCTGCGAAAAGGTATGGCGGAGATGTCCACCTCAGGAAGAGATAGCGCGGATACTTCCGCAGAGGTATGGCGAAGACAGCGGCGGCAAAGTAGGGCGGAAATCGGCATCAAAGGAACTCGACAAGCAGGGCGGAAATGTCCGCCCTACTTGGAAAACCCACGAAAGCACGGCGGATCCGAAGTCGGGGGGCTGTTTTCCCCTCGCGCCCTACATGGGCCCGCCCTCGTGCGAGCGGGGTGACTTGGCTTGGCTTGGAATCCACATGAAGCAGCTCTGAAAGCCGTTCTGGGGCCTCTTGGGGCCTGCCTGGGCCTACCCTGGGGCTTCGGGCGGGTCTTAGGCGGCGCCTGGGAGCGCTCCGAGAGGGCCTCAAGTGGGCCAGGAGAGAATCCCAAAAGCAAGTGGAGTGACGCCACTTGCTTCTGGGCTATCTTGGAATCCTTTTGGAGCTCTCTGGGGGTCTCCCTTTGAGGGCCTCTGGGACCCTTTGGGCCTCTCTGGGACTTCTCTTGGGGCCCTCCGGGACCGTCTTGGGGCCGTCTTGGAACTGTCTTGGGGCTTTCTTGGGCCATCCTGGGGCTCTCTTGGGCGGTTGAAGCCGAAAAAGGTGAGAACACGAAAACCATAAGAAGAAACCGCTCCGAAGGCTACCGCAGCGGCTC